TCAGACCTTCACTCAGAACCTCTCTTCTTCTTCTGAAATTTCTCTTTCTCCCCTAAGCCACCAAGGTTGCTCCTTCCTTCACACCTTCTTCATCCTGCTCGACAGACCAGAACACTTCATACATCCAACAATATCAGCTACTATGACCTCGTAGCCAAAAATATTCCAGATTCAATAAACTCTCCTTTTCTGAATATGTGTGACTGCATCAGAATCTATGAGACCAGAATCTGGTGCTGATTTGATCTGTATCAATGAAAGACTTGTACTTTCAAAATATTTTGACAAGACTACTCAAATATTAAATACAGCAGATGGAAGTAGATTATTTATCAAATATAAATTATCCAATGCTTCTGTTTGTAACAATCGCCAATGCATTGATACACCATTCATAATGGTAAAAGGATTAGCCAATCAGTAATTTTAGGAGTTCCATTCCTTCCTTTGTTATATCCTTTAACCATAGATGAAACATGAATATCTTCAACTATTCAAAATATTCCAATACATTTTAATTTTATCCATAAACCAAAAGTAAAAGAATTAAATAATGTGAAAAGTCAATTATGGGACAAAGAAAGATTTCTTTGTACTCTTAAACAAGAAATTAAATATAAGGTAATTGAAGAACAATTACAAATTCCTGCAATACAATAAAAGATCCAAACATTACAACAACATATAGAAACTTCAATATGTAGTGAGCATCCCAATGCTTTTTGGGAAAGAAAGAAGCACAGTATCAGTTTACCATATGAACAAGGATTTGATGCAAAACAAATACCTACTAAAGCTAGACCAATACAAATGAATACTATTCTATTAGATATGTGTAAAAAAGAGATTAATGATCTTCAAAATAAAAAGCTTATAAGACCAAGCTCCTCACCTTGGAGCTGTGCCGCCTTTTATGTTAATAAAAATGCTGAAAAGGAACGAGGAGTTCCTAGACTTTTTATTAATTATAAACCTTTGAATAAAGTCTTAAAATGGATTAGATATCCTATTCCCAATAAAAAAGACTTATTAGATAGAGTTGCTCAAGCATGTATCTTTTCTAAATTTGATATGAAATCAGGATACTGACAAATACAAATTCAAGAACAAGATAAATACAAAACTGCATTTAATGTTCCATTTGGTCAATATGAATGGAATGTTATGCCCTTTGGTCTCAAAAATGCTCCATCAGAATTCCAGAAAATAATGAATGATGTTTTTAATGCCTATCATCATTTTATGATTGTTTATATTGACGATGTGCTAATATTCTCTGAATCAATCGAACAACATATTAAACACATTAATACTTTTATACATGCAGTCCAGAATGCTGGATTAGTTGTTTCAGCTAAAAAGATAACCTTATTTAAAACTAATATTCGCTTTCTTGGTCATATGATCCATCATGGAACCATTATTCCCATAGATTGATCAATACCATTTGCAGATAAGTTTCCTGATCAAATACTTGATAAAAAGGAACTTCAAAGGTTCCTAGGTTGTTTGAATTATGTTAGTGATTTTTATCCTAACCGTACTTTAGATTCTAAACCTTTATATGATAGACTCAAAAAGAATCCTCCACCATGAACCGATAGTCATACCAAGGCAGTACAGGTAATCAAAAGTAAGGTAAAGACACTCGAATGTCTCTCCCTTCCCCATCCAACTGCTTTTAAAATAATAGAATGTGATGCTTCTGATAAAGGTTTAGGTGGCATTCTCAAACAAAAAATAGATTCTCAAGAACAATTACTTCGTTATACTTCAAAAGCCTGGAATACTACCCAATTAAATTATTCCATGGTAAAAAAAGAACTATTAGCTATAGTTCATTGTGTTACTAAATTTCAAAGTGATATTTTAAATCAACATTTCTTAATACGAACTGACTGCAAAGCAGCCAAAAATATCTTGCAAAAAGATGTTCAAAATTTGGTTTCTAAACAAATATTTGCTCGTTGGCAGGCCATACTCTCTGCCTTTGATTTTTCTATCGAACATCTTCTCAGGTCTTCCAATTCACTCCCTGATTTTTTAACCCGTGAATTTTTGCAGGGGGGCAACACTGACTCTAACGACGAACAGCCCCTATTTGTTTAGAAACCAAATTTTGAACATCTTATCAGTTTACCATATGAACAAGGATTTGATGAAAAACAAATACCTACTAAAACTAGACCAATACAAATGAATACTATTCTATTAGATATGTGTAAAAAAAAGATTAATGATCTTCAAAATAAAAAGCTTATAAGACCAAGCTCCTCACCTTGGAGCTGGGCAGCCTTTTATGCTAATATAATAGGAAAAGAAATATAAGGAATAAAATACCAAGTAGAAAATCTTATTCGAATAATCCAAATGTTATAATATTACCTCCGCCTACTCAATCTTCTTCATCAACACCTAGTTCAGATTTACTATTTCAAGGAACACGAAAAACAACAGATCATGTTGTTATTCCCACATATACTCCTGAATCCAGTATAGCAAATACTTCTGAACCCAGTATAGAAGAATTCCAAATATTAACTCTACAAATAGAAGATGATTTGATGGACAGGAGAGTGGGAAGGTGAACGGATTGCCAAAGGCGGTTGTTCTCCTTCATATGGTATTATTTTACTGGTCATGGGTTATTTATCTCTGCGAGGAGTATCTCGAGAACCCATATTATTGCTTTGCCTTTATCAGACGATTCAGGTGGTGGATTGAGAATAGTTGGAGGTGGAATATTTTTTTTGGGAGAAGATATTCCTTTAATATCTAATTGGGATAATTTTGATATTAATTGATCCATTAGGGATTTATTATTGTCTCCAACATGGCACTTATTCTTATTTAATTCTGGAGGTGGTTTGAACAAAACTGATTTAGGTATAGGTGTAGTAGAAAGTTGTTTTGTAGAAACAAATCTTTCTATTCTTTTTGCTTATCTACCTAACGATTGCATATATAGATTTCTATAATTATTTTGTTCCACTATATGAGGAATCAATTCTTGTTTCTTACCAAGCTCTTTGGGTAAGATTTTATAAAGAGTGGCTACTATATCATATATTGATTGAGGTTGTGCAGGCTCATCCTTAACTGGGATAGTTGCTTTGAGTATTAGACTTTTTTCAGGAGGGTGCATACTAGCTGTAGTAGTACCATCCGTGCTGATATAAGTTTTCTCTTCTATTGTTTGAATATTATCAAATGAAGGAATAGTAATATTATATTCAATACATACTTCTTTTAACCATATAAAAAATCCTTTATTCAATCTTTCTTTTTAAAGGAATTTATTATATTTTTTATGCATTAATTCTATTAATCTAGGTTGAAATGTTTTTAAATACCATTCTCGAATATGTTTATTTTCTTCAGATAAATAATCCTTTTTAATAAAATTTTTATTATTGCTAAAGATTATAGTTTTGACACATCAGCTCTCATAGATTCTGGTGCTGATTTGAATTGTATCAATGAAGGACTTGTACCTTCAAAATATTTTGACAATATATATATATGGATAAAGTTCCTGTACGCCCATGTGCATATTGCTACAGTAGACGCCCAACATCATATATATATATATATATATATATATATATATATGGAAAAAGTTCCTGTACGCCCATGTGCGTACCGCTACAGTATATGCCCAACGGCCCAGATCAAATCTGGGCTGATCTGACAATCATGGTTGTCTGAGAGTGTTTGAATTTTTAATTTTTTTTACAAATTAGAATGATATGAAATTTGTAGTGTGTATACATCTTAGTGAGACGCATCTAATAAACATATAAAAAATAATAATTCGTAAAAAAATATTGACCAAAATACCCCTAAAATTTTTAGAGGGTATTTTGATCAATTTCTTTCATGTAAAATATTTTTTTGATACTTTTTTATAGATTCGCCTATTTTTGATGAACACACACTCCAAATTTCAGATCATTCTGATTGGTAGAAAAAAAAATGAAAAAATAAAAATACTACCAGACATCTGTGATCGTTAGATTGGCCCAGATTCGATCAGGCGTTCGACGTTTATTGTAGCGGTATAGGAAT